ACTTCATACTCGTAAAGTGGCCCAGTCGAAAATGTAGTCTGTAGAATTCAATACTCACTCCATTGAAAAGTGAGGTTAACGCCAAACTTGGTTCAGTAAATGTGTAGTAAAATAGAACATTCGTTAGATTCTTTATATTCATTTTGTAATAGACAAAAAAAAATTAAATGATACGAATTACACAATTCGTATATACTTTTATTTGAAAATATTTTCAAATTATTTACATATAGTTTTTCGAATATTAAATTGTATATAAAACATTATTGATTAAAAGCCCCGCCCCCACCAATAAATGTATAAATTGGAGCAATTTTCTTACAACGGTCAAAATGCAAACTAAATATTGTGTTAAAGTACGTTTACATACAAGTCCTTATCTGGGTCAACATGATAATTGCCTAATCCCATGATAGAAGAATATAGGTAGATGCATCAACGCTTGGGAACATTGATATGTCAACATTTTTTAAGTGCTTTCTCAAAAATAAGTCGATGTTTATATATTTTCTTATACGATATGTATTTGGAATGATTGTATTTTTCAACAATTTCTACAAATTTCAATAATTTTTCATTCACGATTTTCAATATCAAAATCGGTTTGACAGTTCATTGTCCCAGCAGCTGTGTCGATGCGACAACCTGTATTCTTCTATCATGCCTAATCCCAATACATTTGGCAATGAAAAGCATACAGTAGCTCTAAACGAAACTCCTACAATTTTTAATTTTTGTATAACTTTCAAAAAACAAAATTTATATATTTTTTGCATTAGTAGTTTATAAATAATTTACAGAGTAAAAAAACTTAACATTTTAATTCATTTAATGTAAAAAAAAAATTAATAAAATTTGAAAGAGATCATATTTCAATGCCAAACTCGTTAACTTCGTATAATTTAAAGTATTTCTAGACATTAATATTTTGTATGCATTCCTTTACTTTTTTACAATTTGTAGCCTATTTGGCATACTTTTAACAAGTTTTTCGCAAAAGATTAATTTAAAGTTCCATTTTCTGCCATTCTTCCAACAAAGCCTTCTTCAAATCTTCTTTAGTATGCTGGCGAATTTTCCCATCGTGATAGATCCATAAATTTTCTATGGGGTTTACATGTGGAGTCTGGGTTGGTGTATCCATGACGTGGGGACAATTATAAAGCAGCCATGACCGCACTTTATAAGCCTTGTGTTTCGGATCATTGTCTTGATACAAATAATAATCTTCGCCAAGGCCGAACTTTTCCTTACAGAGTGGCAAACTTTCATTCAAAATGTTAAGGTACATAGTCTGATCCATAATACCCTTAATGAAATGCAATACACTAGGTCCAGAAGCTGAAAATGAACTCCACACCATTACTTACCCACCAACGTGCTTCACTGTAGTCTTCATATTTTTAGCAAGGGGCGCTTCATTTGCCTTTCTCCATCTGAAAGTAAAAGGTTGAAGGTTGGGGACAACTATATAACAGCCGTGACCGCATTTTATAAGTCTTGAGTTTCGGATCATTGTCTTGATAAAAATAATAATCTTCGCCAAGGCCGAACTTTTCCTTACAGAGTGGCAAACTTTCTTTCAAAATGTTAAGGTACATAGTCTGATCCATAATACCCTCAATGAAATGCAATACACTATGGCCAGAAGCTGAAAATGAACTCCACACCATTACTTACCCACCACCGTGCTTCACGTGAGGCTTAATATTTTTTAGAGATTTATGTGTAGCTCTTCTTCCATTGTAATTCGAATTTGCAGTATATTTATTATTGTTTGAGGGCGACATACCTTTCCCAAACCCTTTTCAACAATTTTTGCGAGCTTCGGTGCACTCAAAAATTGATCTGCCGTAAAATATACTTCTCATCACTCAAGGTAAACATTTTATTATTTGCCGTTTTTGACTTATTTTCTACACATCCATCTGTTAACATTTTTGTTTTTTTTTTTTTTTTTTTTTTTTTGAACTGAACTGTAGATCGGCTTCTACCAACAATCGCAGATATCTCACTTAGTGATTTATGGTTTTTGTAGTGTTTAATTACCAAATTTCTCACTTCAACAGTGGTTTGTCCTCGTTGTCTTCCCATTTTTATAACTTTTTTTAATATTTACGTCAGTAAATTACACAACACGTGGAAATTTGCAATAAATTAGTTTTTAGGGACTTTCCCAAATACGTTTTTTTGGTGAGTTTTAGAATAAATGCCATTATTTTGTTAAATAAATAAAAACAGTAAACTTTTATTCTACGGCTAGTAATAGTACCCTTTACACTTAAAAAAATATAGGTTTCTTCTGCTAGTGAATTGGATAACAATCATATATTGTATGAAAGAAAATTGTTTGCTAAGTGCACGAGTTTCGCTTGGAGCTACTGTATGTTAAATTTATTGTGATTGGCATTAAATTTATTGTGAAGCAGCAGATGTTGCAAAGTTCTACGTCGATGGCGTACAAAAAAATTGCGTGAAAGGGTCTTAGGAAGTGGCCTTTTCGCCTACGTTGCGGCCACAAGCCATGAAATTCCACTAGCTCTCAGTATGCGGTAGAGTTGGAGAACGCCAGTAGCTGCAGTGAATACTCCCGGAAGGACTGGCCACTGTAATGCCTCTCATGACCTGCCGTGTTTACTACTTTCTATAAACGGGTGTTAGTGTAATTTTCCAAGGCAAAAAAATCGCTGGAGAGTATTTGCTATTCCATCGAGACAGTTTGCTGTTTCCTGCATTTCATTAAGAGGGGGGGGGGGTCTATACCTGAAACAAAAAGCTGAAAAGAAAGAAACAAATTATTAATAAAAACTTGACACAATAATAACTAGAAGGATACGGCGTGGTGTGGTTTCTTGTCGTTTTGGTTGATTTTGACATTTTCGTCATTTTGACATTTGAGTTGTATGGAGAATCCAAATCTCCAAATTATTGGAGTGTTCTGACAACCGAAAGATACGTTTCTAATTAGATTTTAGAATTTTGCACCTAAACCTAGAGGGGGACTACTGGTGGTAGGAAACAAGGGACTCACCCCAATGAAGTCGGTGGAGTTGACATTTCACGAAAGGTCCTTACGTTCAAAATATCTTCCTTAAAACTCTTACATCTCTAGATTATAGCGTTAAATTAGTGGAATCTCCTCCGTTATCTCGTTCATATGATGAACATATCCTGAAAAGGAACAATCACAAAAGAGTTAAGTTCAGCCGGGCTGAATCTTTGATAACCTCCACCAATAGGAAGGAATATGCACATTTTTAAAAAGAACCTTCGCAAAATGCAGCGAATGTTTTTAAAATTCCGAATATCATGAGTTACTTCACAGTCAATTCTCTCTCAGCGAAAAATCCAAATATCAAGTTTAAGACAATTATGTTAAAAAATATAGCTCAAATCATCAAAATTCCGGATAATGAGAGGTATCGTTATATGGGGGCTATACAAATACGTGGATCTGCGCAACAATTTTCTGTCACAGGAAATAGTATCACGAACTTCAAATACCAAATTTGATACAATTCCAGTGAAAAATGTGACAGCAAAATTACTCCTGTCCCAGACAAAAAAAAATAAGAGAACAAATGTATTCCCTGCGAAACCATGGTATTCCCTGCCGTACTCCCTGGTAAACATTCCCATCTTTCTCCACTATTAAAGGTTTAACAAAAAACAACACCAATTATGGAATTAAGCCTAACTATTTTGCAACAACAAAAATGCCAACACTGTCATGTCATTTTCAGAAACCTTATATACCCTTCACCATAGAATGGAGGGTACATTAAGTTTGTCATTCCTTTTGTAACACCTCGATAGGTAATATATTCTTGATCAGCATAAAATTCTGTGTCAATTTAGCGATGTCCGTCCGTCTATCCATCTGTACGTCTGTGGAAATAGCTCTAGCTTCCGAACGAAATGAAGTAGGTTGATAACATTTTACTCAAATGTATATTATGTCTGCAGGACTTTTGGTATAGCCCCCCTATAATTGTACCTCCCCATTTTCGGAATTTTGGTGATTTAAGCGACATTATTCACCGGAATTGTTTCAAGTAAGAATATACATATTCTCAATAGCTGAACTGTCAATATTGTTCCCTTTACTCACTCCCATTTGCTGGACTCTCGTTCGTTATGATTTGTACAAATTATTGGGTTATCGTACACAGATATTTTTGTAATGACGTTTTACCCAGGAGAACGAGTTCAAAAAATGTGTGTACCTTTCCTTGAATTGTATCAAATTTATAATTTTTGTTTTTCTATGACAACGAAAGTTAACAGTCATTCCTTGCATATTTTTCAATTTTTAGATTTTTATTCAATTTTAAAAAACACCCTGAGAAGTGGTGATTTTCTTTCGAGTTCACTTTTGTAGCATCATATATTAACAGGCCCTTAAATCTTTGAAACCAATGCACTTGTTATAATCCAAAAGTTAGGTAAAAACCTCCTATGTATCAAAATTTTTACATGTCACCCTATATTGAGGCAGAACGTGATATTTTCAATCCTACCAATAGCTCCTACATTGCCGGCTAGGTCACTTTACGCAAATACATCTTCGTTTTTTTTTAATTTAATTTTGTAGCACTGTGTAGCCAATTGAAATATTATTTTTCTCTTTGTGTTCAATTCTGTATGTGTGTGTGTTTTGTATTTCAAAATCTAACAACAATAAAATAATGAATACCAAAACCACAATCAAAATGAAATCTTCAGAATAAACGAAAATCTTCTTTTCACAAACAGAGAGGTCAATATTGAAAACCAAATGAAAAAGTTACCGCATCACTCTCTTTTCTCTCTCTCTCTCTAAAATTCAGTTAAACATTTTTTTCACTAAATAAATAAACAACGCAACAATAATAAAAAAATAACAACAAAAAGAGAAAGCAAAAACAAATTCCTCCCCTCAGAAAAAAAAACAAAAAAAATCATAAAACCAAACCAAGCACCCACAAAACCAAAAACCAATTTCAAATCGACCATTTCAGATGTACGGTAATTATCCACCTGCTGGAAGCCCACCATTACCAGATATTATAGGACAATATTACACAGGTGGTTACGGCAGCGGCGTGGCGGGTGCTGCCGCCAATTTGCCTTGCTATGACATGTATGGTCCCTCGACGTCAACGGGCTACCTCTATGATCCTACACTGGCAGCGGCGGCAGCAGGCATTGGCGCATATGGCGGTTATGGTCAGACCTCGCCTATACGTCGCCGACGTTATAGCATTGCTGGCCTGCCCTCGGCCTCAATGATGAACGATTACTATGGCTATCAACAGCCGTTGGGTCCCGCCCCCATACACCAGTCTTCCTCCTCGAATATTTTGAATTTGCTCAACGAGGCCCACAAGTCAATTTCCAGATCGTCACAGATACTGACGCAACAGGCCCGCCTACAACAGGCCCAGCAGGCTGCCGCCCAAACGGTGACGCCCCTATCGCACTATCCGGGTCGTGTGGTATCTAGCTATCCTACTTTGCATCCGGGAGATACCTCGCCGCCCTATCTGAACGATAATCTAATGCAAATGTCCGCGAGTTTCTCGTCGCAACCGAACATGTACTTCCAACAATATGGCCAGGCACAGCCGCCACCGCCGCCTGCGCCCTCGCAAATGCAAACGGCGGTCGGTGCATCGCGTCTCAGACCCGCCTATTCCGTATCGAATCTGAACTATCTGAATTATCCGTTAGGTGGCGGCAGCAAGCAATACCCACTGAGTAGCAGTAATTACATGACCACGACTGGTAGCCAGTACGGTGGCCACAATCTCTATACGAATCCCTCAGATCTGTCGCCCTACAATCTGCAAAGTCTGCTGCAGCAGCGCAACTTAATGTCCTCTTTGCACGCTTCAAATCCCGCCATTTCGCAACTCTATCAACAGCAGCAACAAGCCGCCGTCGTCGCTGCCGCTGCCCAGCAACAGCAATCCTCGGCCTACCAGCAGATGCTGGCCCAAAATATCCAACAGCAATTCGCCGGTACGCATCATTATGCCCATCAACAGCATCAATTGCCCGTTAGTGCACATCCCTCAGCAGCTCACATCCATGCCTCGGTGCAGCAGCAACTGAATCCGGATCATCAATTTCACATACATCAGCAACAGAATCATTTGCAAACGCATCCCCTGGCGGCATTGGCCAGCACCACGGCGCCATTCCCGGCCACGCTGACCAGCAGTGCATTGCATGATGTGCGCAGTTCAATGGGTGGTGGGGCTGCGACAGGACTAACCGGCTCGGCGGCCTATCACGACGCCATGTTGTATCCACCCACGCACCACCACACACATCTGCACCATCCGAGCACGTTAGGCCAACAACAGCAACACCACCACCACCACCCACAACCACATCATTCATATTCGACAACACCACATCACTCACATCATCAGCATCATCTGTCACCATATTCGAAACTAGATTTAGATTATCCAAAACTGCCACAAGAGCATAAACGCCAAGTAAGTTTTAAATTTGACGTAGATACGCTATCTTTAGATTCTTAAGAGAAAGCTAAATAGAATAAATCGCAACAAAAATTCAAATTGAGAAGAAAATTGTGCAATAAAAGAAAAACAAAAAAGAAATATGCTACAGAAATTTGCCAAAAAAAGAAAACCAAAGAAAAAACAATGGCTTCAATTGAAAACCAAAATTATTGCTTAATTCAAATACTACTGTCCATATTCAAAGAAAATACAAAAAAAAAACCAAAACCAAACCAAAAACCAAGAGAGTGCAAAAGAGAGAAACATCATCAAAAAAGAAGTGTTTATCACAGGGGTTCGAAACAGAGTCGCAGAGAAAAGTCTCTCTCTTTCTCTCTGACATTTAATCGAATGCTTGCGCAAAGAGAGGAGAAGTGATCAAAGAATGCAATATGGCCTATCCTCAAAAGGGAGAGAATCTAGCAGGGATGGGAAATCTGAATTTTTAGAAGTAAATAAATGAGGTTTAAAAGCTCTCTTTTAAGTAAACATCTCTCCGTTCATCTATCGATGGAAAAACAGCAAAATGTTTTTAGCTTTATGAATTGTCCTTCTCAAATCAACCCCCCCCCCCCCTTTTGGACCTCTTAACTTTTGGCATTATGTGACAACATGACATCTAAAAGGTTTTCTCTATCTGCAAATAAAAAATAGTAGTTATCATATGAGCTGATAAAATATTTTCAACAATTTCTTGAAAAGATTGAAAGCTTTTTAATTTTCTCCGCAGATAGAAAAAATCCTCTGTAATAGGGGACTCGTAAAAGTTTCTGTAAAACTTGCGGAAAGCTCTTCTGTAGACTGCATAAACAGTGTAATCAATACATGTACGACTTTTCAAAGCTAGTTTAGCTGTGAAACCTTCGCATCCCCATTTATAGAGGATACCTTCCATCGCTATTCTAAACATAGAAGACACGCAAACGTTTTTAATATAAAATGTTGCCTAATGCTTTATTATAAATAAAAGCAGAATACTTCCAAAAGTTCTTCAATGTAAAATAAATTCCACATTTTTTGGGAAATAGAGAGCTGTTGAAGATTCCCTACAAAATGGAAAAATAATGGTAGAAAATGCGCAAAAGCTCCTCAACATAATAGAGGACCTTTAAATGGTTCTCTCTGGCTGGAGGACCTTCAAAAGTCCTTCTTAAGACAGAGAATCTTCAAAGACCGCTCTACAGGTGAAGGATCTGTAGAAGCTTCTCTACAGCTGAATGATCTTTGTAAATTCCTATATATCTGGAATAGCTTTGAAAGCTCATCTATAGATAGAGGACCGTTAAAAGCTAATCTAAGGCTACATAAACTTAATAGCTCCTCTACAGATAAAGAATCTCTAAATATCTCAACTGAATTTAGATAACCTTTGAAAGCTTCTTTACAGATAGAACTATTTTAAAAAGTGCTCTACAGATATATTACCTTGAGAAGCTCCTCTATAGCTACAGGATCGTTAAAAGCTGCTCTACAGAAATTTTGATGAATAATCTATGAAAAGTAGAGTAAAATTCGATTCGATACGATTCCCTCGTCAAAGGCTCTGGAGGCTGGAGGATCATTAAAAGCTCCTAAACAGAATTTGTTATTAACAACAACTTTTGCAAAATCCAACACTTTTTTAAAAAAGCAAGGGCATCATAAGGTCATCTATAAAAAGATGAGTACAATAAAGCACGATTCCCTCTTCAAAAGTTTTTCTATAGATAGAGGACATTATGTCTTTCTAGAAAGCATACATTTACAAAGTTTTCAATTATAGCCAAGCTTCAAAAGTCAAACTATCCTTAATGCTCGTGCAAAAATAAGATGCCTCTAAAAGTTTTTTTTAGGATTAAGGTTTTGTAAAATCCTGATTCACATAGGAGCCCTCTGAAAGCTTTCAGGGTTTCAAATATGTTCATTCCTATGGCCTGCATTACTTCTTGTATGGTCCAGAACTATTTATTGAACAAAAGACCAGACTTTTATAAATAATACAGATTTTAAACTTTTGTTTTTGGCTAAGGACATTTGAAAGAAAGCTTATTGAAAACATTTTTCAATTAAATAACTTGTAGAGAAAATCGTCAGCAATTTTTATATTGTTGTATTTAATCATTTGAGTTTCTCAATTTGTTTAGGAAAATAAAAATTTACTCTAATTTCAATTTCGAATTTAGATTTTCCATCCCAGGATCGTCATCGAACGACCGATGAGAGTTTATACTACTCTCATGGGAATCTGAGTATGTTAATGCCAAACTCCGTCTATCTCCCGCTCACTTCCACAAAAGAGAGCAAGCAACATTCTTTCTGCGAATGTCATCGACGCAAGACACGAAACGAATAGAGTTACTCTTCGATCTGTAAAGCTTCTTTTTCTTTAAATATTCCTATTCAACAAACAAAAATATAACAAAATCGAATAAAATACTCACTTAAATACCAAAGGAATTTCTAACAAACGAATTGATTTCTTGTTGTAGTCTAAATAACATTTAATTAAACATAATTATTTATAATTTTTTTAATATACATGTATACATATATATATATTTTAATTTGTTTCCTATATATCGATATCATTATATGCTCTATATTTTAAAAATACAAATGACTAATAATTCTGTGTTTTTTTCTTGAATCATTAAAATGCATTTAAAACGAAAACAAAGCCATACCAAGGATTCCTGATATAAGCTACTACTACCACTACCCCGCTCCCCCACAAACCAACACGATATTTATTCACCCTTCTCCCTTCAACAACACCAGTTTAGGAAAACAAAAGAATAAAAACATAAACCAACAAAAGTGAGAGCTAAGCTAAATGACAAAAATAAAGCATTTCTTTATTAAATTTTAAAACAAAAACCGAAACAGAAAAATATGCCAAACGAGAGTAAAAGTACATTTTTGTTAGGGAAATTTATACAAAAACAAAATATTTAAACAAAACAAAGCAGATGAAGAAATTATCAACAAATTACAATATGCCACTTTCGTCGCCATGTTTATTATTATAATTATGCTATTTAAGGACAACAAAACAAAACAAAAAAATACAAAAACAAACAGACAAACAACTCGTCGTAATATTTGAAATATGTTTGCAAATATTCCAATTAGTGCCTAAAACAACAAGAACAACAAATACTTTATTTCTTGCCATTCTACTGTATAATGTGAATCTTAAACAAATAAACAACAAATAAACAAAAAAAAAACATAGAACAAGCAGCCAGCCTATTCTATATATGTAACAGCAAATCTTTTTTTAAAAGTCGTAACAATAGCAGATGTTTTTTCTAAGCATTTTAGCCGATTTCATAACCATGTTGTATCATTCGTGTAGATAGAGAGAATCGATCGCCAAGGTTGCCATATTGTCGTGGACGGAGTGTAATAATACCATTGTTGTACGTTGACAAATAAATACAATAATTAATATACAATGTTTAACATATTATTTGTATCGGCCACCTCCCCGACTAAGTCGGCGCTCAATAGCATGGTGGATGTACATATGATGTACATTTTTTACTTACACCTTACTTGGTCACAATTCTATTTATCAATCGGATCGGATCGAAATTATTGACGGCGGTAGTTGAATCAGCTCTTTCTAATTTCGATGTCACCATATCTTTAATAGGAAATATACATTTTTACACCCTGCACCATGGTAAAAGAATATAGATAGACGCATCGACACAGCTGCTGAGACAATGAACGGTCAACCCAATTTTGGAATTGAAAATGTTGAATGAAAAATTATTTAAATTTGTAAAAATTCTTGAAAAATGCATATCATAAGAACCTTCGCTTGGTTTCGTATATGAAAACTTATAAAAATCTATTTATTTTTGAAAAATCATTTAAAATTTTTTGACATATCAATGTTCCCAAGCGTTGATGCAGCCCCACACAACTACACAAAACCCTCTCCACCCACCAACCGATATCCGGTATTTTGATAATTGTAGTCAATTTTTTCAATGACATTGTCTGAAGATCCATAAAAGGAGTTCCTTCTAAGTACTTTATCCCCTGGAAGAGTATTGTCTATATAAGTCCCCAATATCGTATATCCCCCCATACAGCGGTACCTCCCTAAATTCGGTCTTTTGATGATTTAAGCTAAATTTTTCAATGGAATTTTCTTAAAATCAATACTAGAGGTTCTTTCTAGGCAGTTAACCTCCTGGAAAAGAAATGTGAATATATGTCCACATACAACGGTACCTCTTATTATTCGTTTTTTTTTTATGATTTTAGCGACATTATGAACCAAAGTTGTTTGAAATTTCGTATTTAGAATTGAAAAACATTGATATAGCAGGCCCATGGCTTCGTATAGCCCATATACAGACGTACCCCCCCCGATATTCGATATTTTTACGATTTTAGGGACATTATTCACCGGAGTTGTTTCAAATTTCGTATAGTTCGTAATGGGAATTACAGTCTATGAAGGCCCAGGTCTTCGTATAGGCCCCATGTATCAGTACTACAGCCTGTAACAGAAAATTGTCTATGCAGGTACAGCTCTTCGTATAGCCTCTATAAAACGGTACCTCCCAATATTCGGTATTTTGATGATTTTTAGCAAAATTTCTCACCGTATTTTTTTCAAGTTTCGTTTTTGAATATTGTAATGGCTTATGACAAATGTTGCCTATGCAGGACCATGTCTTCGTAAATACCCCAATATAACGGCTATGGCCTTGTACCCATATAATGCGTACTGAGCCGTATTGATAATACATACCTTCCAATGCAGTTTTTAATTTTACTGTCTTGGATGTCATTGAAGCTGATCTCCTGTTGGCACTAGGATCGTATTATAATCGGGAAATGGTTTTTCAATAAAAAAAGTCCCAGTCCAGATCTCCCCTCTTAGCACCAGTTTCAATTAGGCATTTGTAATAGGATAGGATAGGAGTCTCAGGTAGGAATCAATGTTTTACTTGAGGCAGTAACAATTGGTT